GGCCTCAGCTATATGTGCCTCCCCGTTCACTTCCTGTAATGACTACACTGCAGGAAGCTACAAGGCTACACCTGCCCAAGAAATAGTTCTAGTGGTGGTCACATAAAACCACAACGTGCAATACATTTCAGCTTTTTATGCAGTACTGGTAAGCTGATTTTGCTTCTTTAAGCAAAGCCAGCCTCACTATTCCTCCTGTTTCTAGTCTTTGTGCCATGCAAGCACAAGCAATTTCATATTTACTGGAGAGACGTGAGAGTGGTATCGATCTTCTCACTCTCATCTAGCTATCCCTTCTAAATACAGGACTTGAATGGAGTACTTCTTCCACCCCTCTTGTTGTTGAAAGGGAGACTTAACAGCCAGAAGATGTAAAGGGAACAGCAAACCAGTGTTTTCTGAATGAATGAACCTGTATATTTCAGCAACAGGAAATAAAATGTGTAAAGCAAATGTGAGTAGGTTTGTGAGAAATATGAACGGAGGAAATGCATGTGTGATTGCTGCTTTGTGTGTTTGGAGGGGCAGAGGGTCAGCTGTCCTTTCAGTTAGAATCTAATCAGCCCCTCTCTCTTTTCACTCATGAGCTTCCTCGTCCAAAATCCACATCGCTTTCTCCTCCGTCCGATTGCACATTACTCCCATCTTCCATTTCCTCTTCCACCCACCTGCTTGTTGTGTCATTTAGAAGTTTTATGTGATTTATACAGTATCATTTCCTGTAGTCTGGCTTTTATGTGGCTTTAAACTCAGAGGGAGACCAGGAAGAAAGATGGATCGGCAGAGTGAGAACTCATCTGTACGCTACAGCGTTGGCATAGCAACTGTCAACCCACTTTATTATTTCTCTTTGTATTTTATTATTCACTTTCTCTTTTACATATTTCTCACACCATACATATGACACATGCTGCAGGGCAAGACTGTGGACTAACCTTTTCATTCAAAGGGCCCATCATTTCTCTTTCTCGTGACTCCCCACTCTCCATCTTTTCCTCCTGCCCCCTAACCGCTGTGCACAATATTAAGACTTGTGAAGGGTATACATTGTGGCCGGCCACCATTCCCATTTCCTGTCAGTTCTAATCTCCCTCCGGGCCTCTGACACTCCTTTTTCCATTTACCAAGCTTCACTGTGTTGTGTTGTGTTTGTCAGGCTCCCCCTCTTTCTCTTTCTCTTTTTTGCTTTCCAACTTTCTCCTCTGTGTTCTGCTGACCAAACACCTGTTTGAAAAAATCATGCCAGAACATTCAGGTTCAGGTGTGATTAATGCTGTTTTACATAATGTACTTAAGGGTTTTATTTCAGCAGATGAGATGAAACAACACATAAGAGAGAAACAGACGGACTTTGCCGGTTAACGCTCCTTCACAATCAGCCTTTGCACCGTCTATTGTGTCATTTTAATCGCCTATTTCTAAATATAATACCATTGTTTGAAAAAGAAAACATATTTGATCTGTAAAATTTTGAGGAATTGTAAAAATGTTCTCGTCAAGAACAGTTTTTATGCAACATGACATCTGAAGGAATAGTTCAAATAGTTGCTATAAAGGATGGAGCTGGAACTGAAAAGAGTGTGATGAAAGACATAAAAGACGTGAATTATATTAAAAAAAGATTTGTCGAAATTTTTAATAGAAACATTTTTGCAGCTTTGCATTCCTCATTTGAAACTTGAAGCTTAATCATAAAACTCGCTTTCTACACTAAAACCCACACATCCTTTTTTCTCTCACTCTTAGGCTGCAGCAATCCCATAAATAATCAAATAGATATTATTTGTAGAAGAGCATGCAACAAACCCTTACAAATAAGGTGTTGAACCAGCCACTTTCCAACCGTTACCCACAGAAAAAGACACTGATACAAGTCATGCCAATGAAAACCATGAATAAAATATCACATTTAGAGCATTCAGACTGGACAAGATATACAAATACAGAGGCGTACTGAGAGAAGATTAAAACTTAGATGTATAAGGTCACCATCATTTTCTCTATCACTGAAGGACTACTGTCTTTCTTTCACAGTGAGCGCACAGTGAGCGAGGTGTTGGTGTATGACTGCTGCTATATAAATACTTGGACACATCCTTCACATGCTATGATTTGCTTTATTGATGTCTGTCATGTTGCATAATGGCAGGATAGGCTGACCTGTCATAAGGAAACGGTCTAATCCACTCCCACACAGTTCTGTGTCTGCTCTCATCAGATTATACCGTACCCAGAAAGCCACAGCCTAATGTTAAACCGATTAGGCCAGGTAGAATAGTCTAATTATATAAGATTATACCCGAGGATATAGACTTGGCTGAATTGGGATTATAACCTGATAAGTCTATAGTAATCAAATCAGAGAATCCCAGTGAAGATCTAGTATAAGTAGTCTCTTATATATTGCAGATCTTATAGATTTTTACAATTATTTTCCTGTAGAATAACTTTAATATGTCAGTGATGTCATGCAACAATCTAAAACCCATTGCCCAGCAGGAATATCATTGCAATAACACAAGTAGTGATACTCGTGTTATACTTAACCCTGGTCAATATGTGGCTATCGTCCATGACTATGCATGGTACTTGCAAGAGGATATATTTGAGAAAAAATATATCCATCTAGATTTCTTGAAGATGAAACATTTTCCTGGTGCTTTATAAAAGAAAAGTGCTGGTTGCCAAGACTACAGATCATCACAGCTTTACGGAGTCTGACAATAGAAGAGGACAACAACTTAACGAGAGGAGTACAGGAGGAGAATTCAAAAGATTCTCAACTAGACCACAAATTTCTGTGTTAAAAATCTGCATTAAAAAATATTTTGACACAGAAGGAATCACAACTTGTTTTGACCATCCCACATGGTTACCCAAACTACACTTTTTCAAGTTTTCTTCATTGAATTATCAGGGGGAAAAAAAACCAAAACCAAAAATCATCCAAGGTACCAGTGATTATAAGCATTAGACTGGTTTCAGATATCCTCATGATCCTGACGCTCAAAGTTTGTCAGAGAAAAAAGATGCTCTGGGAAAAAAATAAAACCAGGTTTTGGCTTTAGATTGTAACACTTGGAGTTGGTGTAAGAGTGATTTGGTTACAGTTTTTAACAAAACCTAAATGTGTTTTTCAGCTCTACAATTTTCATGTGGCTCTCCTCCGCACTTAAGAAGTTATGACGCATCATAATGCTGGAAAAAATAAGGCGCCAAATTTCAACTTACCTCTAATGTGTGCACTTTTGGGACTGTAACTTGGAAAATATTCACAGTAAGAAGTTAGAATAGTTTCCTTAGATATCTCAGAGTTGTCACAAAATATACATACAGTGCTGTGCAAAAGTCTTGAGCAACCCTTCATTCTTCATATCTTGCTTTCAAGGCACCAGAACCTCACATTTTTTTTAAGTGGTCTTGATCAATAGTTCTCCAATAGTTGTCTTTGGACATCGGCTACTTTTTTTTTCAGTCCCATCCTTATAGCCGAACATTTTTTGTTTGTTTGTTTGAAAAAATCACCTAGTTCAAGGGATGAAGCAGTGTTGTGTCTACACAGACAACACACAACTTAGCAATAACCAACATTTTTCCCAAAGGGCTGTGGGCTGAAAAGTTGTCATATTTTAGCTTGATGTGCAGTGTGTCCTTAAAATTCTGAGCAAAGTGGCAGCCTTTAAAAAGCTCTCTACACCAGATGAAAAGTACCTGAAAGTTGTTTCCTTAAGCAATAATAAAAATATGCCAAATTACACAGGAACTTCAATCAACAGGGTGGAGTGCTGAATTCAAATGCAACATTTTTGGTTTACATTATTGTCAATATGTCCAGAGGAGGTCAGGAGAGAGGTACAGCAGTGTGTGTACAGCCATCTGTTCATCACAGTGGAGGCTTTGTTGTGGTTTGAGGCTGCATTTTAGCCAGTGGTGTTGGGGATCTTGTTGAAACTGTTGGAATTATGAATGCAGAAAAGCACCATCAGATTTTGATCCACCATGCAGTGCCACCTGGAAAGCATCTGATTGGCAGCAGCTTCATTCTGCAGCATGAGAATGATCCCAAACACACTGCCAGTGCAGTAAAAGCCCAGATAGAAAAACACACAAAGGAGAACTCTTAATCTTACCTCAACATTATTGAGGCAATGTGAGATCATCTTGACAGAGAAGAGAAGAAAAGGCAGCCAATATGAAAGAAAAAAAAACGAGCCTTGACTGTCCTTCAAGAAGCCTGGAGAACTGTTTCTGGAGACTACTTAAAGACAACTACAAGAAAGTTTTCCTAAGAGAGTTCAGGCTGTGCTAATGAATAAAGGTGGTCATACTAAACCCATTTCAACCTCATTAGAATTGAAAAACGATCTTTTTACCTTATGAACCCCTGTGAAAGGTGGCTAAAGACAAGGACAATATACCAGCTAATGGTTTCAGATTTGACTGATTATATATCAGAAATGTATCTAAACTGCTTTTCTGAAAGTAATTCGTTTCACCTTATAATCAATCAAAATTTGATTCAATGATTTCAAACATATATTGCACAAGCTATGTTGCCGGATTGCTTTTATAGACCCGCATTAACATCTATATTTGTCTTAGGCATGTGTTTCCCCTCCACTGCAGTTTTGATTTACACGTGTGTTTGTTCTGGAAATGTTTCTCTGCGTGTATTTCTGACGTGGAGTTGGCGGTCCCAGCATCCTTCAGTGCCGTGTTTCAACAGGTGCCATAAAGAAAAAAAAAACAACAACAACAAATGGCTCATATAGTCTTTATTACAGAGGCAGCAGCTACGAATGCCACACGGACCACTGGTTTTCCGAGGCTACAGTAAAAATAATAACCCCGAAATAACCCGGGTACAATAAATCTAGACAACCGTTTGGTGGCCACATCTTAAAAATCCTGCCACCTGTTATTTCGCCTTTCCGACTCCGTCCAATGGGAGTGAGCGGCAGGTCTGGAGGCGGAGAAAAGAGGGAGAGAAGTTGGAGGAGAGAGTGAGAGACAGAGTCGGAGAGACGGAGAGCCGTAGATTGAGTGTTTGTCGGTGGAGTCACATATTAAATCGCAGACTTTACAGCTCATCTGGGGACTCTTACTTCACATCCACGCCGTCGTCTTTTCCCCACCACCACCTCCTGTTTCATGCTGCTTACGTGCAGCCACAGGTTGACCGATTTATCCCAGTCACCATGGATTATTCCGCTTCATCCACTGCCGATTGTCACTGACAGGATCAAAATGGGAACGATCAATACATCACCGATGACTGGGAGAGAGACAAACTGATCTTATCAGGTGAGCGGAAGACGGAGCCATCATCAGCGGGGAAGCGACGCGCATTTTCGAGAGATAAGACCTGTGGAGGACCTATATGAAGGGAGACGAAGCGAAAAGATGATGGGATGGCCGTGACAACATGAAAAAGAAAAAGTGCTGTGGTCTGCTTTCATCCAGTCCGTGATTCGACACAACTAACCTGGGGGGAAAGGGACCGAGGCAGAAGAGGTCGGAGGTAGGTATATGGGAAACAGTCAAGGAGGAGATGGGTGGTCGTGAGGGTGTCTGGTTATATCATAGTGAAAGTAGGCTGTTGTTTTGGATCAATCAGAGGATACCAAAACGCAAGCCAACTTATGGTTAACTGAGGCTTTCGCACAGTCACACTTCTGCTCTGATCTGGAATTATTATCCTTTAGTCTCTGAGGCTGATCTCATTTTCAAAGTGTAAAGCCAGAGGATTTGCACCATCCTCCTGGCTAACAACACAGATGACATTTATGGAATAGATTGCTGGAAGCACTGTGGGATGTGAGAGAACAAGAAGACACTGGGAAACCGAGAGGGGAAGCGCTGAGAGAGGCTGACTGGGCAACTGACTCAAATGTGACTCAAGGAATAACATATTCCCCAATTATAGCCACTTCACTCTGTGTTCCCTCTTTGTCACACATCCTCAGCTTTTGGAGTTCAGTCTTCTCCCTCATTTGTTTTAACCATCCATCACAATGTTTTCCTGCTCCTTCCTTTGTTTTTTCTGTTTGTCCTTCATTACCACATTATGATAAGGAACCTGTATTCTCTATCGTTTTCTCCGCGGGCCACTTTATATTTCCTCTCTTTTCTCTTCCTAGACAGGTGTGCGGCCACAGCTGTGATCATGGAGCCTCCCCCTTCTCTGAGCTTGGCTCTGCTAGGAGGGAGCGAGGATGAGGACCAGCGATTCCTCCTTCCCCTGGGCAGTATATCCCATCCGTCCACCGCTGGCGCCCAGCCAGGATCAAACCACTCCAACCACATGGGAGGATCAAGCCTCGACCGTCTAAACGGCAGCACCTCATCCCCCTCGCCTGCCACGCCCAACTTGCCCGCAGCATCTCTCCCGAAGTTACCACTTTCCTCCGCTGGAGCTCAGCCTTTGCCTCCACCCATCCCCAATGCCCTGCACCCCACCAGCACCCCACTCTCTTCCTGTCTGGGCTCACAGCACAGCCTGAGTGGGGACAACTCCCCAGTCTACAACGCCCTTTTTTACTCGTCCCATTCGCCGTCCATGGAGCGGGAGAGGGACAGAGAGCGTGACAGGGACAGGGAGAGGGGGTGCAAACACAGACAGGCCAGCCCTCTGGTTCACCGTAGGGACAGTAACCCCTTCACGGAGATTGCCATGAGTTCCTGTAAGTACACAGGTGGCGTCATGAAGCCCCTGAGCCGCCTGAGCGCATCCCGGAGAAACCTAATTGAGTCAGACAGCAGCAGCGAAACCAAAGAGGGCGCCGTTTCAGCTGTTGCTGGCGCAACTGCTGCTGGGGGTCATGACCGGCAGCGAGAAGCCCCCCCTACCTGTTCGGTGACCCAGTCCTCCACCAACCAACCCCCAATTCAGAGCCCGCCAGAGATTGTGATTTCATCCAAAGAAGATTCCCCGTACCTCAGAGGAGGTTATGACATCACCGACTCCACATCCAACCAGATGTCCATCTACCACCAGAACCACGCACTAGTGGAGAGCAGGCGTTCGCAGTCAGGGAGGGGCAGCAGGCAGGGAGGAGTTGGGGCAGTGGGTACCGGAGCCAGGGGCAGCACCTCCAAGGCTCCCAAACGAAAGAACCAAAACATTGGGTATAAACTGGGGCACCGCAGGGCGCTGTTCGAGAAGAGGAAGCGGCTGAGCGACTACGCCCTGATCTTTGGAATGTTTGGCATCGTAGTCATGGTGATTGAGACAGAGCTGTCGTGGGGCGTGTACACGAAGGTGAGGGACACAAATGAGTGACACTTAAAAAGACACACCAATAAAAAGATCACTTGTGCTTAGTGCTGGGGCTGGGCCATGTGTTGAAATGTTCTAACCATCAATCAAATTAATTATTTACTGAGTTGAAATCTTAAGGAGGCAGACCACAAAATTAGAAACATAAACTGACAGCTCTCCCTCAGAAAATACTGCCCAGAAGTCATCTAGTCGCTGATAACTGAGCGCGGTCGGTAGTGCATTGTCTTTTGGGAAACCAAGCTGCACTCCAGCCATGTCTTAGAAAATAAGCCTGATGATGACATAGCACAGTGAAGAGGGTTACCTCAGCTCACACTTGAAAATTAATACAAGAAAGCATGCATTAGAAACTTGGAGTGTGGACAAGCCTGTGAATATATCAGGCAGAGGGGTCTAGAGAAAGACATTATGAAGTTCCCCTGTGGGAATTGTAGGAGCCAGTGTCTTTAGCTAAGGACTGATACTCACAATATCTTTGCCTCTGCTGCTTTAGTTTTGGCTGTTGTTTTGTTTTAATTTGTCTGTCATCAATCCCCCCAGGCTTTTAGAGGTATGACACAAAATTACCAGAGTGTCACGTGAATGTAGCTGCATTGCATATGAGTAACAATTATGAAACCAGGCTGTCGTGTCCCAAAAAGTTGATTCTGTTCATCTGGACGTGGCGTTTTCAGTGGGAGAAACGTTTTGTCACTCATCCAAGTGACTTCTTCAGTCTGAGCTGACTGCAGGTTTCCCCAACCTTATAAACAGTACATTTGCATAATGACTGACGGCTGTCATGTATGTCATGGTTATACCTCTGGTGCTTATCTAGAATCTCCTGGGTTAACTTTGTCTTATTTGGGCTTTTTTGTCTTTTGCTTTTTTTATTTTTTTATTTTACAAGCAGCCCATAAACACTGACAGGAAATGTAGGGGATAAAGAAAGAAAGAAGATTACAAGTCCCAAAGGTCATCAGGCAGATTTGAACATTAGGTAGTACGATTATTGACCCTCCAAGTCACTAGGACACCCCATTTTTTTACCCGGTTTAGGCGGTGCAGATGAACCTTTTAGTCACTGAATTCATGATTGCAACAACTATTGCAATGACCAAGCTTGACAGTTACTGCTTTTGGGTGATGTAATGCAAGGATGCTAAGGACATGGAGGGGGCACATTATCAGAAGGAGGCCAGGATCTCATTTGTTTGTGTAATGGGGGGTGTAATAAGCTGAATAGGCCCCTGGCTGCTGTTCTCTGTTTATTTTGTGTGTGCGCGTGTGTGTCAGGAAGCCTCGGACCATGTTGTGCTCACCTTGCTGTGAGACACTTTTGTCCTCATTCTAGCCTCCCTTTTTGGTCAGAGATATGACACAGACTTTGCTTTCTTTAGTTCATAAGGTGGAAACATGACTTCTGCTTATGCAGCTTGTCATACATGGATCACCGATGATGTGAAATAATCTGTGAGATCAGCTGAGTGCACAGATTAACAGGTAGCCTGTTAGAATAGCCCAACTGGGTGTGTCTCCCCATCTTTCTCACCCTCCTCCTGTGTTTCTGTCTGCAGTCTGCAATCTCTGGACTCTTTCTGTTAATGCCGTTGCTAGAAAAATCTCCCTGCTGTGTCTTTTCTTCTTCTTTTCAAAAATCACTGCTTTAGAGGTCCTTTTTTATTAATGAAAGTGCACGGTCTCTAATTCCCTTTCAATCCCTCCTCTTCTCTTTTATTCTCTTATGTCTGCCTTTTCTTTCTTTTTTCCCCTGAAGGAGATGGCAGAGACTTATGCCCTCTTTTTCTGCCTGGGCCTTTTCTATTTCAACTTCACGCCTGTCTCTTTGTCCTGTTTTCTTCATTCCTTTCTTTCTTTCTTTTTTTTCCCTCCTTCACTATCTCTCTCCCTCTGCTCCGCTGCTCTTCCAGTGGGCGTCAAACTGGGGGAGTGTGATCGGAAGAGAGAAGCGGCTGGGTGAGAATGAAAGTCTGTGGAAGGAGAGAAAAAAAGGAAAAAGGCGATAATGAAAAGCCTGATTTAGGTTCTTAAGCTACAATCAATTTAGCCCTCATCTCAAACAGGCTGCGTTATCTATCAATACGAATCAATGGACTGAGTGATTTCAAGCAGGGTAATCAAAGTGTTTGTCAGCACTCTCACCATATTAATTAATTTCTGATCATCAGGGCATATTGGGGGAAAAACAAATCGTATGTGAAATGTAGAAAAACATTGTGGTCTGTCTTCAGCATCTTGCATTTCTAAAGAGAGAATCCAGAGAGTTAAGTGTGCATCAAAATTCATCTTAAATGGAGACTGTAAAATTTTCTGTCTTCTTTATGGCTGCGTATTTGGTTTGACTCCAACAGACACTGGGGTCCCATCAGACTGCTAAAACCCTCACTTAGATAATTGAGGTGGATAGAAGCCTGCTGGCTGTTGTGAAAAAAAAAAATGGATTGAGATCCCGAGGATGAAAGAACGATCGGGCTGGGAAGATGAATGGGTGGAAGGAGGAGAGGTTCGCGCGCTGCTTTAAACGAGTCTAGTGGGCGAGGTTTGAGTGATTTCTTCCATTGATTATTGATAATCACACCCACACACATGCACCGTGCACCTCCGCATACACATGCTGTGCAAACTGCTTTATTGAAAATGGATGCTGCCTTTCAGAGAAGCCATCCTTGAGAGCTCGCGTTGAAATATGATCGGTCAAGATCATTCGTCATAGATTGAAAATATATAATGCACGTGTATAAATATAGCCTCTTAATGGCTCCTTTAGGTCTCCCTTCTTTGACAATGGCTACAAAGCAAATGTCACTGTATGCTGATCGGTCTGTGTAGCTCTACCTAAGCTTCTGCACTTTTTTTCTGAAGGTCCAGCTGCTCTAGCTTTGCTCCCAAAAATAGAGATGAAGAATAAGAATGGAACCAAACAGAGTTGGCTGGATTGTGTGGAGCGTGCATGTTTCTGTGTGTTGGAAGGGTAAATGGAGAGAGGTTAACTGAGGAGGACACAGTGTTTCGTGACTGTGGGTATTGTGAGTAAGCTATATTCCTGTGCAGAAACAGCACAAACCCTATCAGCACACTCTTTTTGCCACATCTAACACTTTTCCATTCATTGCTGTGCAGCCTCTATCTTCGGTTATCAGCCTTTGCAATTTAAGTTAAGTTCAAGTCCATGATGAAGGCCACTTCTGTAGGACAAAGTTTGATTGCAGATAAAAATTATTATCTTGTACAGCCTTCAGCGCTCTAAGGCACAGCTGTAAATTCCTGCATTGTAAATATTCAGGCACGGTTGTTGAGCCTAGATAGATTATGTAGAGAGAATATTAGATGATGAAATAATTCATGAATGTGAAATAATTTAATTTTTGGCTCATGGTGACTTTTTGCCCAAAAGGCTTCAAAGAAAAAACCTGAGCCTTTAATTTGTTGTCATGCATTTTTAACTCTGCATGTTCTGTGACCTCTCCTCATGATCAGTGTCACTGCCACACACCCAGGATCGTGACATGTCAAAATGTTAACAGCAGTGTGAGGACAGCCTTCTATATGCTTCTATTATTATTTTGATGAGGAACAGGGGGTCCTGGTCTGACACGTGTCTCTGTCTGAGAATAACTGGGGCCCTTGGACACTTGGGACCTTAGCATGTGGGCTGTCACAGTCAGATCAATAGATCTTTCACAGAGGCTCACATAGCTCCTCGGGGCCAAGCTCTGAGCCACATTTCAGGCTTGCAATGCAACGCTGCTATTCTGAGGCGATGCCCAGCAGTTGTCGACTTCACCTGTCACACTATCAATGCGTGCACTTGGCATGTGTGAGGGTATCAAGTGTGAGTATGTACCCTCTGTCTGCTTCTCAACACAAGCATCAGCAATGCTGCCTCCTATTTCCCCTTTGCTTCCTCGATTCCTTCCTTCCTTTCACTGTCAGAGAAAGTCCCTCCCTTGGCGAGTCTTAAATATGCCTCCATTCCCCCACGAGAGTCATTGCCTTCTCAGCAGCCTTAAAACCTCTTCCTCAGTTCCTCTGCAGCACCGCCATCTCTGCCCTCGCTCTGCTATCTCTGACATTTACTGGTAGACCTTTTCTTTGCTGGTCCACTTACAGTGGCTGCACGCTGCTTTAGAGACAGTACATGAGGTCGATCAGGGAATTAAACTCCCACCATATTCTCTAAAGAAGCTATCAGCCATCTCTGCATTTTTGTGCAACTGCACCTACTCTCCTTCTCAACCTTCTCCCTTTTCCTTCAGTCCATTACACGCTGCCTTCATCTTCTAGATCACAGACTTCTAAGCGACTGTAGATCCCAGAGGTCCTACAACTAACAGGTACAAATATGCTTGTTTGAGCATAACAAGGCTAAGCAACCTCTGGCTGTATGTGGAAGCGCTGGTACTTACATGGTTATGTTAAAACTTGTGTGCTCTGGTGGTAAACATTCACGTCACAGGGTGTATGGTGTCTCCTCTGTGTACACGCACACATGTGGAGTGCGTGTCTTTATGTATTTAGCTCTGTCATGTTAGTACCCATGGATGCACCTGCTAATGTGTGTGTGTCCACATCTCCCTTTGTCTGGATTTAATTGAGTGTGTATGGCCGTAATGGTGTATGCCGATGTGCATTCGAGTGTATGCGTATGGTGCGCGTGTGTGTGTTTATCCTGGAAGGGTGACATCGCTTCTGTCTATTGCCTGTTTCCCTGGAGACTAATTGCAAGAAGGCATCACTCTGACAGGGAGAGACCCCCAAGGCTAAGGCATTACATCACACGCAGACACATGTGCACACACGCACACATGCACAATCATACTCATTACAACCGCATGGTAAGTGACATGTATTTTCTCTCATGTCTGTGTCAATAAGGTTGAGGTAGGGGCAATTGGGGGAAACCCTCTAGATACTACCTGTCTGTGTATGTGTGTGTGTCTCCCTGCTAATTGAACTAAAGAAGCTCAAAAAGCTCATTA